AATGTCTTTCAGATCCTGAGACTTCAGCACAATGTCTTCTCAAGAGCAGCAGTGCCAGCAGCCAAGCCAGACTCCTCCTGTGTGTCCACCCACAAAGTCTCCTGAGCCTTCTCGTCCACTGAAGTGCCCACCGGCTTGTCCTCCTCCAATGTGCCCACAGATTCATCGTCCTCCAAAGTGCCCACCTACATTTCCTCCTCCTCCAGTGTGCACACAGATTCCTACTCCAAAATTTCCACCTCATTATACTCATCCAACGTGGCAATATCCTTGTAATCGTCGAATGTGAACACAGCCTTGTATCCTCCAATATGCCCACATCCTTATCCTACTCCAAAGTGCCCACAACCATGCCCACCTCAGCCATGACAGTAGACATGTCCTCCTGTGCAACCTCTTCCACACTGACAGTAGAAGTTCCCACAGAAGAACATGCGAGTGCTGCAGCAGTCTCCATGTCCAAGAGAAGAGGAGGACATCTATCTTCTCCCACTTCAATAGAAACACTTCCATCTTTGCTCAAAGCCTGTCACGGCTGCAGAAGAATTTTGCTCACCCTTCACCTTCATGTGTCTGTTATGACGCCTTCGAGGGTGGGCAATCTCCTGAGATTCTTCTCCTTCTGCTGTCAAGTGGTGGCTGAGTTTGTTCCTTCCACACCACCTCAGTGTCCCAGATTCTCAGTGATGAGTAGCTGATTCCACCCTGTGCAATCAGAGGATGTTTCCAAAACCATGAGTTTCCTTGTTTGTATTGTTGTCTCCGTGACTTAATTTCCAGAATAAAGAACAATATGGTTGTTAGCACTAATGAGTTCTTTTTTTTTAACTGACTCTACAATCTTCCTGATATGCTCCTGTTACACTGTTTTTATTCTTTCATGTATGAAGATTTTGATTATAATTTGGGTCATAACAAAGTTTCTTTAGTGATTGTTTGCTTGAGAGACAGAGTTTTATTATGCACAACTACAAGCTATTATTTAGCACATGCTATTTTAAAAAGATTATGCTATGCTCATGTATAAATGTTTCACTTAGTTCAAACATCCCCTTAAGCCATATATCTTTTTTCTTTTTTCTTTTTTTTAAAGTAAATTTTATTAAATTATAAAAGTTTCCATTTCCGCCCCTCTTCCCAACACCCTCCCACTCCCCCCACTCCCTGTCCTCCTCCCTCTTCGTCCCTTAGGGCAGTCAGGGTTTCCTGCCCTGTGGGAAGTTCAAGTTCCTCCCCCCTCCCTCCAGGTCCAGGAAGGTGAGTATCCAAACAGACTGGATCCCCAAAATCCAGTATATGCAGAGGAAACAAGTCACAGTATCATAGTCAATGGCTTTTCAGAAAGACTTCGGGCCAGCCACATTCAGAGAATCCGGCCAAATTCCGAGAATCTGGTTAGATCACGTCCTCGTTCAGTCCCCATCCAACTGGCCTTGGTAAACTCTCATTAGATCCGTTCCCTTGTATCAGTGGGTGATAGCATCCCTCGCAGTCCTGATTTCGTTTTTCATGTTCTTCCTCCTTCTGCTCCTCATTTGGACCTTGGGGGGCTCAGTCCGGTGCTCCAATGTGGGTCTCCGTCTGTATCGCCGTCCTTCGCCAGATGAAGGATCTATGGTGATAAGCAAAATATACATCAGTATGGTTATGGGCCACGGCCGGTTCAGCATCGGGGGTTCCTGGGTAAGAGTGTCGAATAAACCAGAACACGGGGGAGGCAGTGTGGAAAAACAACATTTGTAAGCTGTACGCTGTGTGTTTATTAAGTAATCCTTTTATACACTTTGGAAACAATTGCTTCAGTCAACAGTTTAAAGAGGAAATATAGATCTTGAGTAAACCAAGGACTTATTTAGATTATGCACACAAGGCAGCTTAACGTAGCAAGGGTGGTCTGGGGGCTTGCCTATTTTAAACAAGGATCTCCAGAGACATTATCTCTCTGTTCCAATCTATTCTAAGACTTCCATCAGTGAGCAGAACAGCTGCTTGAAGCTGAGACGGTGAACTCGGAACAGCGTCTTCTGCAAACCACAGGGTATGTGATACTTGCTCTTAGAATTAAAAGTCAGAGGAATTGTCACTCTGAAATGTCCCATAGCATTCCATGGAGCTTCTCTTAGAATCCAAGGCAGTACTCAACAACTCTCCTGGTGCAGGTGGCACGATCCCTGCATTTTATAACACAGTCTCCAAATCTCAGCAATATATATTTTATTTTCTTTTATATATTTTCTTTTATATATTGTCTCAAAATAACAAAACTGGTTATATAGCCCTTTGGGGGAGTTTTACGCTTTAAGCCTTTGTTTAAATGATGAGACCACAGAAATAAATATATCACAACCTCTCTTGTACTACAAATAAAAAGCATCAGAAAATTCTAGTAGAAATTTGAAAATATCAAATCTTCCAACACTTGAATTGGTGCCACTAGCACTGGCTATCCAGTCATCACTAGAAAAAGAGTCCTGATATGATAACTTTTCTAATTCCTGAGCACAGAGTTCACTTCTGATCCAACCTGAGAGACTCCGGAGGAGAGAGCCACACTCTTACACCACCTCGACTCCTTTTCTTTACTTTACCTCAGAGAAGCCAGCTACTTCACTAGTTTCATTGCTCCGCTATTTGTGGTGTGTGTTTTCAGCTGTATGACATCTATGTTTTACATCTAGTGAGTAATTGCTTATCCAGACAGTGGGGATGTGAGTTAGTTCTGTAGTTTACTGGCAGTAGATTCCAAATTGTTCCCCGGGACTTTGTTGGCCCACCAATGGCTACAAACATAATGAAAAGTGCTATTAGCTCCTGATCTAGGGGTGAGAATTTTCTCTATACTTCCTGTGTCCACTCTGTAATTCTGTCTACTTTGTGCAGGTCTTTTTGTACATGTTGATACATCTATGTGAATTCTCATATAGAGTTTTATTGTTGCATTTAGAAATGCTTTTGGTTGTGATTTTCCTTCTATTATTTTCTGTAAGGCTGGATTTGTGGCTACAAATTGTTTAAATTTTTTTATCCTGGAATATTTTGTTCTCTCCATTGATAGTGAATGATAGCTTGGCGGGAGATAGTAGTCTGGGTTTGCATCCACGGTCTCTTTGTTTCTGAAGTACCTCTATCCAGGACCTTCTGGCTTTCATGGTTTTCATAGAGAAATCTGGTATAAGTCTGATAGGTTTACCTTTCTAAGTTACTTGACCTTTTTCCTTTGCAGCTCTTAATAGTCTTTCTTTAATCTGTATGTTTTGTGTTTGATTATTATATGGCAAGGGCATGGTTTTTTTTTCATCAAGTCTATTTGATGTTCTGTATGCTTCTTGAACTTTCATAGGAATATCATTCTTTAAGTTGGGAAAGTTTTCTTCTATAATTTTGTTGAATATATTTTCTGGACCTTTGATCTGCAATTCTACTCCTTCTTCAATCCCTATTATTCTCAAATTTGGTTTTTTTATTGTGTCACAGATTTGAATGTTTTGTGAAGAGAATTTGTTGGACTTCCCTTTTTTTTGATCAGAGCATTTATTTTCTCTATGGTATCTTCAGAATCTGAGATTCATTCTTCTATCTCTTGTATTCTATTGGTTATGCTTGATTCTGTAGTCTCTGTTTGTTCACCTAGATTTTCCATATCCAGCCGGTCCTCGGTTTGTGTTTTCTTCATTGCCTCCATTTCAGTTTTCAATTCTTGAACTGTTTCCATTACCTGTTTGATTGTTTTTTTTCTCGGTTTTCCAGGGTATCATTTATGGATTTACTCATTTCTTCAAACGTTTTGTTATACTTCTCATTCATTTCTTTACTCATTTCTTCAAACTTTTTTTGTTATACTTCTCATCTAAATCTTTAAGGGAGCTATTCATATCCTGTTTAAGGAACTCTACTGCTTTCATAATGGCACTTTTTTCCACTTCTTCTAGATTAAGTTGTTCAAGTCCTTCTATTGTAGGGTCGATGGAATCTGGTGTTTTCATGTTGTTTCTCAGATTTTTGAAGAAGCACGTGCCTTGGCGTCTGCCCATCTCTTCCTTCAAATGCTCTCTAATGGATCTTCTGATACCGGGTCAGGTTCCCTTGTTGGGCAGGGACTTCACGGACAGAAGGCCTACCTTTACTCAGGAAGGCTATTGAAATACAGGAACTGTCTCCTGCCGGGTTGCTCTTACAGCCCAGGCCCAGTGCACAAGGCAGTTGAACTGGGGAAATTTTATGACCCCAGAAGGAAAGGAGGAATACAGGAAGGTGTACCTAGGTGAAAGCTGGGATGGGAGGTGGGAGAGCTTAGCAGGGTGGAGCCACTCCCGCAGGGTGACCAGGGAGTCAACGGGGTCAGGGAAGTTCTGAACTCCTCCTTGCTGGGCTTCTGCTGTGAGCCAGGAGCAAGCTCACACCTCTGATGGATGTCTGCTAGAGGATCAGTGGCCCTTGCTGGCCAGGAATGTCACTGAGCTGACACAGAGCCTCAGGCAGGTTCAATCGGGACTTGCTTTCTTGAACCATGATCCCAATAAATTTTTTATAGGTTGCCTTGGTTATGGTGTCACTTTATAGCAAGAGAAAAACTAAATTGTTTATTTTTAAGAGATATTTAAAATACTTACAGTATTAAAAATGAAAGAGTCTAAGGCTTTAATATGGCTTTTTAAAAATTCCCACCTCCTGTGTATTACTACTTCTTCTCCCTTAATAGTTTTAATACCACTATAATGTAAACTTTACAAGAACCATACTGCCCATAGGTCATGCCATGATTTTTGTCCTGATACTTGAACTGAGTAAATGCATTTATAACAGATTTATGACCATTTCTCATACGTACCAATACACTTTCAAAAGCAGGGATGTAACAGGAATATTGACTGAACATATATCTCCACCTGTGTTATTTGCCATCTCATCATTTCTTCAGTGTTGTCATTTTTTGCCTATGTGTCCATATCAGTATGCTTCAGTGTCATCAAAAGTCTGTCCCGTGGACTAAAAACCATTGTTGAAAACCATAGTTCATGAATGACAGCACTGTGTTGTGTGCAGGTAGAAGAAACACTTCAAAATATTTCATATGTATTTCTGTCTCTCTAAATATTTCCTGACTTCTGAAATGGAATTCCATTGAGCAACATCTCCAGTGAATGTCAGTTTCTTTAAGACTAATACTATCCTTATGTCAGGAATAAGAAAGATGTAAAGGTCATTGAATTCTTTGTAACTGCCAGAAGACTAATGAGAATGGCCTTTTTCTAACAATGTTTGAATATTAAAATACTTTAAACTTCAATGTTTCTACCACTTCTATTTCTTTTCCATGAAGCCATGAAAGGAGCCAGAGAATTTCATAATTTGTCTGTTACCTTGTTCTGAAACTCAGAGACAACACCTAGTTTGGAGTCAAAGTTTGAAAGCTCAGAGTCCATTCCTTATCAGAGCCTCTGATTCAAATGGGGGCAAGTAAACATTACTCAGAAACATGTCTGGTGATCAGAGATACAACAGAAATGACAAATTTCCAAAGAGCTTTCCTTGTTAATTCAGTACACTCTCACATATCCAACATCCAGTCTGGCTAAAATTCCTGTTAAATTCCCACTCCCACAGGAATGACACTACTCATCCAGGAAAATCTCAAGGAGATTAGACTGAAAACTCTGGATTGGATTGCTATAATGGTGCTTTCTTAAAATCCTTTAGAAAGCCTGAGTTTAGGGTTGGGAAATAGCCATCAGGAAGTAGTATGAGTTCTACTACAACTCCCAGATCCTTGTTCTTTATTCACGTCATAAATTTAGATCTCCTACTAGGACATGAATAGATTGAATTACACTAAATTATTAATTTCATGAGAAAACCTTTAAGTAGCCTTTGTGTCAGAATCTCCTACATCTGAATATTCATTGTGTCTTTTTCCTATCTGCTCTAAACAGAGCATTGCCCTCAATGTTGTTAATGATTTTCCAATACACTTTTTGGTAACTTAAATAGAATGTACTTATCAATAATGTATCACCCTAGCAATGATATTACACTTTTATATTCCTTTTTATTATATCAGTAAATGATCTATAAATACATATCTCATTTTATCATGGAGCCCAATTGACCAGCACACACAAAAAAGAACTTAATGTGAAAGTTTAAAAAGAATTAATATGGACTATGGGTCAACATCTTATGCTATTAGGTGGGTGGCCATTAGTTCAATCTACAGGACCACAGGGATAAATATGGGATTGTACTGTGAAGTGATATGACCTAAATATGGTTTATAGGTGTGGTGCCTCATTTCCATAATTATGGAAATTAGGTAATAGAGGCAGGTGGATTACTGTTTTGAAGCAATTTTGAGCTACAAATATAAATATTTCCTTTGGGATGTCAATAAGCTTTCTTTTCTACAAAAGAGCAATGTGATCCCCTCTCTTGCGGAAGGTGCAAATTATGCGTGTTAGGTGCTCAGATTCTCTGAGTGAACGACAATGTGGAATACGGGTTTCCAGTTTTGGACTCTGACACACTGAAAACAATTTCTTTTAACTGCTCACCCACTATTCTGAGCCCTATTCAAGCTTTTATACATCCGTATACACACACACACACACACACACACACACACACACATATACATATATATGTATATATTCTTAATCACTGTTTTCTTTGCTTTAAAGAATCTTCTCTGTTTCAGGAGTTACTATTTAAAAATTGTTGCTCCTCAGTTTATTCTTTCTCCTCCACTTAAATCTCAGCTTTCCAGGACCAAAGGAAATACTTTCTCTTTTCTGAACTCATTTGGTCTACTTTTTAGGAGTTTCGAGAATCTTGACTTGACCTGAGAGTTGTTTTGTACTTTAGTCAAGCTACTGAGATATCATGACTGAGAGCAATGACAGAGATTATTGTTGTCACTGTGACAACTCAGTCTGTCACACTTAAACTTCACAGTGCCTTATTGAAGATATCGTTTTTCGCAAGTAGCAATATTCTGTCCTTTAAGGAAAGAAGTTTTCATCCCAAAAATGTAAATAAAAACGTTGCATTCATAGGCCAATTACACAAAAGAGTGATATGGAAGGGAAATGCAGGAAGTCTGGAACAGAAACTGGGATTGAGGAAGATTCTGACATTTCATAAACTAAAATTTCTTCCTTACTGAGGAGTCACCACATCAGGAAAATGTTTTTCAGATCCTGAGACTTCAGCATGATGTCTTACCATCATCAACAGCACAAGCAGCCCTGCCTGCCTCCTCCTTTGTGCCCACCCGCAAAGTGCTCTGAGCAGTTTCCACCCTCAACCTGCTCTGAGCCTTGTCCTCCTCCACAGTGCCCAGACACTAGGCCTCCCTCAAAGTGTTCTACAGTCAAACAACAATAACAAAACACACAACTTTTAATTATATCGGCCAGTTTTCATGCAGGAATATCTCATTAAGAAACCATAGCAAATCAAGAAATGATATATGTGGTTTTCTGGCAGATAAAAATGTCAGACTGATACTATGTGTGAGTGAGCATGCATGAGTGTTTATAAGTGTACACATGATGTATATTAAGGATTCAGCATATTGTTTGTTTTTTGAATACTAGTAGTAGCTCAAGTAGTATCACAGCCAAGTGGGCTCAGCAATGCTTTTCAGAAAAGGACTATGAGGGATTGTGAGTCTTCATGCTAATTATCCTAGAAAGAGCATGCTTCCTTAGGATAAGCAGTCTTAGAGTTACCATTAGAGGGGAGTCTACATATATAACCCTAATATGTCATTTGAGATGGCAATCATGAATAGGGTCTGATTATGCCTAAAGCTCAGCAGCCTCCCCTATTAGCAGCATATTTGACTTTCTATGGTGACAGAATGAATTAAACCTAGACAGGGATTCTGACTTGTGTCCGGGGACAGGTTTCTCAAAGATGAAGCTGAGAGCACAGTTGGAGTCCCCTGTAAGACTGTCCTCCTTTCAGAACACAGGCAAATTATACCTAGAAAACAAGAATATAAATGTGCCAATGAAACAAAATATATCAGTCAACGTAAGCAGAGCAAACAAGACATGAGAGAGGTGTAACCAAGAAAAAATATTGTTTTCATTCAAAAAGGAAAACTTAGATAACCAGGGAGCTCTTGGTGAAACTGATAAGACAGGAGTGGACACTGAGTCACCGGGCTGTACAGAAATGGTAACCAGGAACAGAATTTCCTATTATCTAAGGTCCCCGATGAGTCAGTTATTCATGGATTTTCATTTTGATTGGGAAGTGCCTGGACCTGCCCACAATAACAGCACTACTCACACTGGGCTGTGCAGCCAGTCATATAAAGAGGCCCTTGACTGTGTGACTGCAGACTCCTGGTGCTCAAGCCCTGGACTCCTTTGGAGAACCTGGTGAGTGTTTCCTGAGTTGGTCTGTCTTTATGTTCAGCTTATGTGCTCCTGTCAGTTTTGAAGAAGTAAGTGAGATGAGTCCAGTTGTCTTTATGGGATGAACAGCACCAAATTAGCAATCAGAAATATAACAATGGATACAACAATCCACTGCGAAAGGTGTCTTTCCTTTTATTTGGTAGGATGTTGAGCAGAGTATTTTTCTCTTTCTCATGCATCTTTTGTTGTCCCTTTCAGAACCCTAGACATTAGCAGTGATCAGACCCTGGGACTTGCCAGAGCTGTCCTTTATTCTGCTACCCCAGACAACCTGCTGGGATGTCACAAGGGACAAGGAAGACAGGGATGTGTTATTAAATTCCTCAGGGTTCCAGAACTTGAAGCTCTCTGTCTCAAATGCATTTCTGTGTGGAATTAGCCTTGTTTCACTGAAATAATGTGTTTGTTTCCCAGAATAATGCATGATACAAAGGTTACTTCCCAAGGCTAGTGCCACAAATTGCTGAAAGGAAAGGGAAAGCCAGGCTGTCCTAAAACAGGGGTTGGGGAAAATGTGCATGTGTGAACAGTAAAGTGGATGTGAGGTTCCATGTGTCCATCTCTCCTTTCAGTATGGATCACCTCTAACACTGTAATGAAATGTCTTTCAGATCCTGAGACTTCAGCACAATGTCTTCTCAAGAGCAGCAGTGCCAGCAGCTGAGCCAGAATCCTCCTGTGTGTCCACCCACAACGTCTCCTGAGCCTTCTCGTCCATTGAAGTGCCCACAGGCTTGTCCTCCTCCAATGTACCCACAGACTTATCTTCCTCCAACGTGCCCACAGACATGTCCTCCTCCTCCAGTGTGCACACAGATTTGTACTACAGTATGTCCACCTCCTTATACTCCTCCAACGTGGCCATATCCTTGTAATCGTCGAATGTGAACACAGCTTTGTATCCTCCAATGTGCCCACATCCTTGTCACCCTCCAAAGTGCCCACAACCATGCCCACCTCAGCCATGACAGTAGACATGTCCTCGTGTGCACCCTCATTCAACTTGCCAGCAGAAGTTCCCACAGAAGAACATGTGAGTGCTGCAGCAATCATCAGGACCAAGAGAAGAAAAGGAGCTCTTTCTTCCCCAACTTCCATGGAAACACTTCCATAGTTGCTTCAAAGCCTGTCATGGTTGCCAAAGAATTTTGTCCACCCTCACCTCCATGTGTCTGTGATGACCCCTTCGAGGGAGGGCATTCTCCTGAGATTCTTCTCCTGCTCTTGTCAAGTGGTGGCTGAGTTTGTTCCTTCCACACCACCTCAGTGTCCCAGATGCTCGTTGATGAGCAGCAGCTTCCACCCTGTGCAATCAGAGGATGTTTCCAAAACCGTGGGTTTCCTTGTTTGTGTTGTTGTCTCCATGACTTCATTTCCTGAATAAAGTACAATATGGCTTCTAGTACTCATGAGTTCTTTTTTTCTTCTATAACTGGCTCTACAATCTTCCTAATATGTCCCTATTACATTATTTTTATTCTTTGGTGCCAGGGTCATCGTGTTGTAAGCAGATTTTGATTGTAATTTGGGTCATAACAAAGATTGCTTAGTGATTGTTTGCTTGAGAGACAGAGTTTCATTATTTACAACTACAAGCTATCAGTTAGCACGCTCTATTTTAAGAGCATTATGCTATGCTCAGATATGCATGTGTGACTTAGCACAAATATCCCTGTATACCATGTATTTCCCCTCACTTGTCCCTTTCATCTGATATAATAGTTACATATGTGCATGAACCTAGCCTTTTTCTGTTTTCCTCTTTAATAGTTGAAAAATTAGTGCCAACCTTGTATTTAAGACTGGATTTATTTCCCTGAACTTGATGATATGCAGTTTCATTTGGTTGCCTGCAGAGGACATGTGATCATTGTTTTATATGACTGATCATAATTTCAGGCCACATAAGTGCCACATATTATTATCCCATCCACGTCTGGTGTGCAGATGTAATGACTAATGTACCTTGAATATTAGGAGTAGATCTGAAATATAGATGGATATGCAGGAATCTCTATTGTATGCTGAATGTGACTTCTTTTACTAAACGTCCAAGTGATAGTGCTGAATCGTATGACAGATAAGCAACAAAAACTTGAGTTGCATCAAGCTTGCTCAAGTGGAGTTGTTAGCTCAGACCTATTTCTGAAGATGTTTCTGGCCTAGGCCTGGTTCTGTGGAGGTCCTTAGCTCGGGAATGTTTCTGTATATGTCTCTGCCTCTGTCTCATTTGTAATTACTTATGTCCATTTGGTAACATTGACCAAAAATGCCTCTTAATTATTTGACCTCATACTTGGAATGGAAAGAGTAGAATTACATAAGCATATCCTGGCACCTATTAGGATGGCAATAAGTTTGCTTTACTACAAGAGAGCAACGAATTCCCCTCCTGTGTGAAAGGTTCAAATTACGCCTGTAAGTACCTCAGTGTCTATGACTGCTGGACAATGTAGAATATGGGCCTGAAATTTTCAGTGCATAAACCACGAGAACAATTACTTTTAACTGCTGACCTATTATTCAAAGTCATATTATGTTATTTCATGTGACATCACATTCACAAACACATACACACACACACACACACACACACATGTATATAGTGATGGTCATAATGAGACTATTCCCTGTAGGTTAATTAAGTTGAATGCTTGGGCCCCAATTCAAAGAGGGAAGGTTTAAGAGGTCTGATATATCATGGAAGGTGGTCTTTCAGGTTTCAAAGTCCCACTTCATTCCTAATTATCTGTCTCTTTTTTTCTCCCACATACTTTTGGATCAGTATGTAAGATCTCAGCTACTAAAATAGCACCATGACTGCTTCCTCACTAGTATGCTACCTATCATCATATTATATACACATTTCTGGTACCATGAGCCCAAGAAAAGTGTTTTTAATATGTTGCTTTACTTATCAGATCACTTTATAGCAAAAGAAAAAACCTAAATTTTTGAATTTTAGAAATTAATATAGGAGTGACTATTTGAAAAATGAAAAACTATTAGGCTTTAATATGGGTTTTTTAAAATACCCACCACCTGATTATTAACTCTTCTATTCTATTAACAGTTTAATTCTACTCCCAAGCCATTGGAAATTTTTATCAAAAAATCTTTTCGTTAACGTAATCATCCCAGGAAACATAAATTCCATTCGTCAGGCCATGATGTAGTCCTGACACTTGAACGGAGTAAATGGGTTTATAACATATTTATGACAATTTCTCAAATCTACATACACTCTTACAAAGGCATGAATTAAACATGAATCATGACTGAACATAAATCATATCCTGTATTCTTTGCCATCTCATCATTTCTTTAGTGTTGTTCATTTTTGTCTTAGGTGTCTGATGTCATCATGTTTCAGTGACTTTTTAAAATCTGTTCCATGGACCATAGACCCTTCTAGAAAAGAATAGGTCATGAATGACAGCTCTGTGTTGCGTGCTGGTATAATATTGAGTTCAAGTTATCTCACATGCATTTCTGTCTCTCTAAATTTTCCTGACTTCTGAACTGGAATTCCATTGAATAACATCTCCTGTGAATGTCAGTTTCTTTAAGGCTAATACT